CTCATAGTGGATCAACCAGTCTGCTGGTGACAGCCAAAACTACTGGTAGTTGTTCACATGCAAAAGGAGGATCATCAGCCTAAGGAATGATTGTAAGTACTGTGATGGCCGCTTGCTATTCACAGAGGGCTGAGTGATGCAATAACATCATTGTACGAGGGGGACGGTTGAACATTGAGGCCTCCTCCCTGTCTCCTGAGTTAGTGGGGACGCTGTCTGCTCTGTGGTACAGAGACCTGATGACTCCTAACTTGTGCTCCAAAGGGTGATGGGAGTCAAACCGTAAGTACTGGTCTGTGTGGGTGGGTTTGTGGTACACCTCAGTTCCCAAATGTCCTCCATCAGAAAACAGTCCAAGAAAGCCAACTTGCCATTTTTTTCATCTTCTCGTGCAAACTTTAAATATTTATCCCTAGAGTTGATGTGGTCAGTGAAATGTTGGACTTCCTGAGCTTTTAATTTTAACCCAGGTGTCGTCAACATACCTGAACCAATGACTTGGTGGTGTCCCTGAAAAGGACGTCAAGGCTCTCTTTTCTACCTCCTCCATGTACAGGTTGGCAACAATAGGAGAAACTGGAGACCCCATAGCACACCCATGTTTCTGCCTATAATATTGCTCCCCATATGTGAAGTAGGTTGACTGCAGGCACAGTTTCAAGAGTTGACACAGTTGTTCTGTGGAAAGTGTGGTCCTGCTGCTCAGAGTGGTGTCTGATTTTAATTTTAAACTGACCACCTCTACTGCATCATCATCAGGAATGCACGTAAAGAGTGATGTGACATCAAAAGAGACCATTGTTTTTAAACTTTCACATATTGAGGCATAATGCACAATCCAGGTACTGTAAATCTAAATGAATGACCAGAGGGTGTGTGTGTGTGTGTGTGTGTGTGTGTGTGTGTGTGTGTGTGTGTGTGTGATTGTGTGTGTTCAGGCTCTCGTTCAGGTCAGAGGGAGCTCATCACCATTTCTGACGACTCTGATGAGGAGCTCGTGGCTTTGGTACCAGGCAGTCCGGTTTTAGTCCCGGACGATGCAGAGGATGACGACATCAGCATCCTGGAGGTGGTTGTCGCTCAGAACTCTTTAAAATCTGCTTCTTCTTTTTTACTTTGTGAACAAAATGTATCAGATTTTGTTTTTGTTGTATTTATTTCATTTCTTAATTTAGTGAATGCTGGTTCAACTTTCACACGTTATTTCCTGTTTATAGTTTTACACACATTTTGTACACTCAGACTACTACTACTTTGTGTGTTTTAATCATTCATTCATCAAAACGTCCAGCTCAGTCAGCAGTAGTGTGCTAAGATGCTTGGGTTTTATCGTTTTTATGAACTGATGCAACTTAATTTCAAAACTTTTCCTATGTAATACATTAAAATATTTTCGATTCCTTCAGAACATTGTTCTCTGTAATGTTCTACTTCAGCAGACTGGCTCTATGTTTGACTTCCTAATATTCTTCTAACCCCAACTCTTTTAGCTATGGTTCTACTCATTTTAGTTGTTAGTGACTTCCTAATTTTAGCTTTATAAATATGGTTTTGCTTTTTTTTCATCTTTTACCTACAGTTTTGCTAATATTAACTTTTAGCCACTGTTTCGTTTTATCTTATAGCTATGGTTTTGTTAATTAAAGCTTTTTGCTTCATTTAATCTAATTTTAGCGTTTAGCCACGGTTTTGCTAATTTAAGCATTTAGCTATGCTTTGACTGTCTTTAGCTTTTAGATTCTGTTTTGCCAATTTAATCTTTTTGCTACGTTTTGCCAATTTTTGCTTTCATCGATTGTCTTCTAATTTTGGGCTACAGTTTTGATAATTTTATATTTCAGCTTCTGTTTTGCTTATTTGGGCTTTTATTGTGTACATAATTTCGCTCCACCACATGTACCACATGGGGTGCGAATGACAAATAAAGAACCTTGAATCCTTGAATTAATGTTTTTGCTAGTTTTAACTTTAGTACATTTCCTAGTTCTGCTAGTTTTAACGTCAACAATTCATATTCAGCTTCTTAAACAACTTTCAGCTGTTTTTTTTTTATTTATTTTTTTTAGAGTCAAGGTTCTTTACTGTCGTTCACATCCATGTGGTACATGAGGTGGAATGAAACTATGTACGTAGGGTCCAACCAGCAATGATATAATAATAATGATATAATAATGATAGCAACCAGCATTCACACTGCATTGTGCTAAAAATTTTGTTTTCTGTTCCATTCATTCCTCTTTTCTTTGGGTTTTCCTGCAGCCACCTGTTCCTGCACGCAGGCCTTTAATTCGCCAAGCAGCCATCTGGGGCGGGAACAACCAAACTCAAGCTGTAGGTGAAAGTAGCACAGCCTCTGTGGTTCCCACAGGGGACCCTGGTTCTGCTCCCTCTACCTCCAAAGTTGCTAAGACCACCCAGCCACCCACACACACACCAACTGCAGCGCCGCCTGACTCACCTGGACTCTTGGAGCCGCAGCCAGGTCCATCTTCATCACACACACAGTCCCAGCCAAGGCTTCACACACACATTCAGCATCAGGACGGCGCATCGGCACGTACAAATGTGGAGCTCCACGTTGTTCCGTCTACCTCCATAAACGCCAAGGCTAGTGCCACTTCATCTGTAACACACGCACTTTCGTTTCCTCAGCCCGGCACGTCCGCATCGTCACGGCCACATTTAGCAGGAGAGCACCAGACGACTGTCTCTGCTGGCGCCACGGGGTATTCTGCTCCAGCGACAGCCTCGTGCTCCTCTGCACAGACTCAAGAAAAGCCTAGTACAAGTAGGCCATCAGCCGACGGTGCTCAGGCCAGTACTTCATCTGCACATCCTCAGCCTGGTACTTCTGCACAGCTCCAGTCCAGTGGAACCACGTTTGTGCTACCCTACCCCGTCAAGGTGAACACGGTGAAGCTGCTTGTTTTTCCTCAGCAGCCGAGCATCCAAGCATCTGCTCTGATAAGCCAGCCTCAGCAGCCGCAACGGCTCCAAAAACCTCTACAGCCTGCGTCACACTATCAGATGCAGGGCAACCTCATTCAGATTGAGCCCCAACCCCTGGCCCAGGCCCCCACACAGCCCACTGTCCAGCCCGCTCAAAACCCTCAGGTCATACCTGTGGTCCCACCTGCAGTTCTAGTAGCTGCTGCCCCAGAGAGATTAGGTCCTCCAGAGGCAGGTCACAGGATTATCCTGGGGAGTCAGGAGCCAGGGGAGCTGGCTCCCAATCCTCCGGTTTACATCCACAATGTGAGGGTGCTCAACAGGAACTCTAACCCTCCAGAACTTCACAATGGAGGAGAGGCTGGCTTAATCCCAGCTCCAAACTCTGAACAGAATAATCCAGCTCCGGTTCTGGTGGCAGTCCCCCCTGCTCCTGAGGACATTCCCCAAATAGAGGATGCAAGACCTGGACCCTCGGCACCACAAGACCGACCGGATCAGCGGTCTCTTGTTCGAGCCCTCATCACTGGTGTGGTGAGAATCACTCACGCTGTAGCTGTTTGGACCTTGATGACCCGGTTGTAACTAAATGAAGTAAGTCAAGTCATGGTTATGTCTCTCACTGTGTCCTCCACAGCTGGATCTGTTCCCAGATGTCCAGGAAGCCTATGTAGCAGAACTGATCCTAAAGAAAAATGTCAAAGACTTGAATGTGTAAGAAACCTTTTATTATCAAACGGACCTAATTATGGGAATGTCATGTATTTTTGATGTCAAGTCCTGCCTAGCCTCTGACTTTGTAAAAGTTTAGTAAATGTTCCCGTGTTGTGTGCAGGATTTGTAACCTGCTGTTGGAGAATCCAGAGTTTCTGAGGAGAGAGACGGCAGCAACCACAGCAACTCCCACCAGTATCCTCCTGGAGTCGGGAGACACCCAGACAGAGGTGAGGGTGGGGTATAAAATAGTATTAAACACTCGTGTTTTCACTAAAGTTAAAAATGAACTTACTTTAAGTACAAAAATGTATTAACTGCTCAACAGTTCTTCATGTGCGAGTGGCAGATATGTCAGCTGTTTGTGTGCACGTTTATTACCCACTGCTAAAGGCAGAAGGCTGATAATGTCTTTGCGCTTGTTTGTGTGGGACTGTAACTCGGTTTTACAGATATTGAGACAAATTGTTTTATGTGGAAGTAGCTGAGAGACGCACATAATCCAAACATTGAAACATCTCTCATAATAAAATAAGATAGAACTTTATTGATCCCACAGGAAATTGTTGTGCCAGAGTTTCAATACAAAGGAACATACACACGGAATCACACAAGATATAAAAAGAATATAAAAATAACAACAATTAAGTTCTTAACAGGTGCAGACCGAAACATTAAAGTGTTTATTGTAATACAGTATTCATTTTTTATTGTCCCATGTGCAGAAAGGGGGAGGAGTTAAAAAGTTTGATAGCCACAGGGAGGAAGGACTTCCTGTGTTGTTCTGTGGAGCATCTCGTGGTCTCAGTCTACGACTGAAGGTGCTGCAGTAAGAGTCCAGTATGACATGCAGGGGCTGTGACGTGTTGTTCAGGATCTGGAACGGTTTCCTCAGCATCCTCTGCTCAGACACGTCTGTCAGAGACTGCAGGTCCACTCCCAGAACTGAACCAGCTCTCTTGATGAGTTTGAGTCTGTTGACATCAGCTTTCTTCACCCTGCTGCCCCAGCACACCACAGCGGAGAAGATGCTGGAGACCACCGAGTATTAAAACATCTGCAGCATGGTCCTGCAGATGTTAAAAGACCTGAGTCTCCTCAGAAGAAAAAGGCGACTCTGCCCTTTCTTGTAGAGAGTGGTGGTGTTAGCTGTCCAGTCCAGTTTATTGTCTAGGTGGACCCCCAGGTACTTGTAGCAGTCCACAGTGTCCACCTTAGTACCTTGATGTTGATAGGGTTGGGGGTCTGATCTTCCTCCTGTAGTCCAACTGCAGCTCTTTAGTTTTTCCAACAATGAGTTGCAGGTGGTTCTGTCCACCACACCCTCTGTATTCAGCTTCCTGGTCACCAGTGATGCAGCCCACAATGACAGAGTCATCCAAGAACTTCTGCAGATGGCAGGAGTGTGAGTTGTACCTGAAGTCCGAGGTGTAGAGAGTGAACAGAAACGGTGAGAGGACCGTCACCTGAGGTACCCCTGTGCTGCTCAGCATGGTGTCCGAGGTGGTGTTCTGCAGCCTCCTAACATTCTACCATATTGTGTTATTTACAAGGTTTTGACAAAAACTGATCCATTTTTCATCATAAGATGGTCTTGGTTTAGAGTTGCATTCAGGCCTAAAAAATCTGACCCAGCCCGAACCTGTATCATTTTTTCCAAGCCCGATCCGAAACCGACCAATTAACTGT